CACAACTGCTCTCCTTATCTGTGTGGGTTTCCTTGTTTGTTTGTTTTCTATGTGTGTGATCTCGCAGTGTTTGTCTTTCTTAGTCTCACTCATTCCCTTAGCATAGTGCATTCAAGGACAATCAGCGCAGTTGAAAATGGTAGGATTTCCTAATTTGTCATGGTTGAACAATAGTGTATATATTGTATATATACAACATACTTTTTTATCCATTCACTCATTGATGGATACTTCATTTTTTTCTGTGTCTTGGCTATTGTAAATAATACTGCTTTGAACGTGGTGAGCAAATATCTTTACAAGTTAGTTTTTTTATTTTTTTATTTTGGGTATATTTTCAGAAGTGGAATTGTTAGATCAAAGGGTAGTTGTTTTAATTTTTTTTTGAGAACTGTCCATACTGTTTCCATAGTGGCTCTTCCAATTTGCATTCCCACTGACAGTGTACAAGGGTTCCCTTTTCTCCACATCCATGCTAATATTTATTATCTCTTGTCTTTTTGATACTGGCCATTGTTACAAGTAGGAGGTGATTTCTCATTGTGTGATTTTTCTGTTTACTTTTTTAATTTGTTTTTTGTTTGTTTGTTTTTGCTATTGAGTTTCATGAATTTTTATATATTCTGAATATTAATCCTTTGTCACATACCCGGTTTGCAAATATTTGTTCCCATTCCATAGGGTGTCTGTTCACTTATTCCTCATTTCTTATGCTGTGCAGAAGCTTTTTAGTTTGACATAGTCCTACTTGTTCATTGTTTATTTTGTTGCTCATGCTTTAGGCACTATACCAAAATTATTGCTAAGATGCATGCTAAGGAGTTTTATTCCTATGTTTTATTCTAGTAGTTTCATGGATTCAGGTCTTACATTTAAGTCTTGAATCTATTTTGAATTAATTTTTGTGAGTGGTATAAGGCATGATGTTACCTTTCATTTTTACATGTGAATCTCCAGTTACCCCAGCACTACTTATTACAGAGACCATCTGTTCTTCATTGAGTTGTCTTGACTCTTTTGTCAAATACTAGTTGAGAATACATTTTGGCTCCTAATTCAGTTTCGCTGGTCTACTTGTCAGGTTTTTTTGCAGTACCACATTGTTTTGATGACTCTTCCTTTATTGTATAGCTGAAGTCTGGAAGTACGATGCCTCCTGCTTTGTTCTTTCTCAGGATTTCTTTCATCATTCAATAAGTAATACAATTTTAAGAGTATTTATTTTTCTATTTCTAGAAAATGTCTTTGGAGTCATGATAGGGATTGTATTGAAAATACAGATGACTTTTGGTAGTTTTAACATTTAACAATAATATATGAGCACAGTACACTTTTGTCTCCTTCAATTTCTTTTATCAGTGTCTTGTAGTTTTTAGAGTAGACATTTTCCACCTCCTTAAATGTATTCCTAAGTATTTTATTGTTTTTGTGCTATTGTAAATGGGATTAATTTCTTTATCTTTTTCAAAAAATTTAATTTTAGACTTACAGTTTTTAAAGGATATAAGAACGCTTTCCTCTCTGAAGGAGATTAGGGGAAGCAACAAGGTGTGTTGGCCTTATCATTACTTTCTGTTCTAGCACCAACTGCTTTGAGACACCTTACAATTTCACATAACAGAATCTGAAAATGTGGCCTCAAATGGAGATCAGAAAAAAGTATAAGGGGTAGGGACCTTTAAGTTTTAGTTAATGCTACAACATTCTGAGGTATTTTTATAGCAAATTATAAAGAAATGGTGTCTCTTCTGCATCCGGAGAAGAAAAGGAACATTTAGGTTATGAAGCTAGCTTCAAATATCTGAAGACAAGTACCTTCCAGGTACCGTTTTGCGTAGCAAACTTGGATAGAATTTAGACAAGTGAGTGGGGAATGCCAAGGTACGTAAATATCAGCTTTCTTGACACGAGGAAGAACTTGCTGTTTCAAATGAAATTGAGTGTTTTAGGGACATAGTGATCACTGCTTTTTCATGTGAAATGTGGGAGAATTTTAGCAGGGTTGATCTAAGGGTTAATATGTAGCATGCTAGTTAAATGATTCCTTCCAGCCTTGAGATTCCATGCTTCTAATGGAATACAGTCTTATAATGGTGTTTATCATGAAGGCGTAGTTTCATAATCGCTTCAGGAAGAAAGATTTATATTTATAACTAGAATATTTCCTCCAAAGTTATACAGTGTCTTTAAGTTTGACAGGTATGATGTTTTTTTATAACAAAAGTTAAGATGTTGGCTCCATTCTAATAGCCCTTCTCCATGTAGACACTGTAATAGACCCTCCACTTTTGCTTTCACTGATAGATGATTCTGGATTTCTTTCTTAGAGATAGTGAATTTAAAGAGTCTATTCTAAAGACACAAGATATTCCTTGTTCTATGTTCATAGAACATATCAGAGTCTATTTTCCTTTAACTCCAGACTCAAATTCTATTAAGCTTCCTGGTTTTTTATATTCCTTAATCTTACTCTATAGAATCATTTTATTCTCTGATTCATACCTACTCTTTCTAGGTTTGTAGACCTAGCTTTCTTGTTCTAGTTTGAGCATGTTCTTCTTCTTTTTTTTTATTTGTTTAACCTAAGATTCTTTCATTTAATACAGACACTATTATATTTTTAATTAATCGTGATTCTATTATATATACATTTTAAATCAATAGTCATTTTCTGCCTACTTTAGAAATCGACCTTTCCTGAAATAACTGATCTCTAAGAGATAACTATTCCCAATTTTTCTTCTATCCTGCTCTATTCTTTTTTCCCAGGAACTTTATTCTGTATCCTAAATAGATGCTTGATTGCTCAAAAACTAAATTTACACTCTTTTACAAAGCTAATGATGCACTTGTTGCTTACCTCTGTGATCTCATTTCTGACCATTCTTTTCCCCAGCCAACCACTTACAGCTTCCTGGGCCATTGTGCTATTTCTTGAACAGGCTAAGGTGGTTCCAGTCTGAGGGCTCTGAAGAACCCTGAAGTGCTCTTTACTCCTGATTTTTACATAACTGTCAACTTGAGACTTCAGTTTCAATTTTACTCCCATAGATAAACCTTCCATAGAAACCTAATTAGAGAAGCTTTTACATATTGTCCTGTTTAAACCTTCTGTAACTTACTCCTCTATATATGGTATTTTAAAGCAAATTTTCGATGTGTATATTCTGTCTCCCACACAAGAACGGATGATTTATTAAAGCAGGTACATGATCTGTTTTGCTTACCAATATTTCCAGCACCTAGAAATGGACACGAGATATAATGGGAACTCAATAAATATTTGTTGAATGACTATATAAGCACTTCATCACTTCAAATGTCCTTATAGGTTAACTTGGTGGCTGGTGAACTCTTTCAATTTTATTATAACTGAAGTTTGTAGGATAATACATCATTATATTCTTTTGCTAATTTCATGTCATAGAGTTGTTATGAAGATGTTAGGGAAATGTGCTTGTATGTATTTATGTAAAGAATAATTAATATTGTCATTTGGTGTAGTGAGGAGAGTAATGTTTCAAAAGTCACAAACTCAGAAGAGATGCCACTGGATTTAAACATTAAATGTTAAAAGAAGCACTTATTTAGAGATTTTGATTTTCACAACTTTTTTTGGCTTCAAAACTCATTTCCTTCTTTGACACCTTTTTCATTTACACAAACTATTGAAATAGCATTTAGACTATCTTTTGCCTGGTACTCATACATTATAATGAGTTTAAGTAAAAAATATTGTTTCCCTACTTATAATCTAAACTTTTTCATTATCAATATGTTGTTTGACAGATTTCTCATATCATTTTTTGTTGTTTTCTATAAGGTTGTATTATTTCTTATGATTTGAAAGAAACTGTATTTTCATTCTTAATTTGCAAATATTTTTTATGTAAGAAATTGTTGCCCCGTGGTATAAACTTCCAGTATTAAAAAGATGATTATAAAATTCTCTTGCATTATTAAATCCCTTAGTTTCTCTCCTGACTATTGAATGGTGGTCATATAACATGTTTTTAAATATGCATCTTATAGTATTTTAAAAATAGCAGTGTAAAGCAAAATCTTTTTCCTGTATGTTTTTTCCTGTCTTTAGCAGGCACATTTTTAATACCATTCCTGATTGTTACACAAGTTGTGATTAGTGTAGAAAAGTATGTCTTTAATGTACCAATTTCCCAGAAAAAGCCTGTACTTAAAGAGCTGTTTTTCATAGTATACTATATGACTGTTTTGTGAATTATTAAATATATATATATGTGTGTGTGAAATTTTATTTTTTCATTATTGTCTTGGTCTTTCATATTTACCATTTATGTAATATGTGCATTTGTCACTAAGTCACTGTATATACAATTGACAAAAATATGTGCCTATCCTTTTCACATCAATGTCCATCACAGATTTTAATACAGTGTCTTCAAAAATATTAAAGGACCTGAAACATATAAATATAAAACAGTCCATGCAAGTGTAACAATACAACAAACAAAATTAAAAAAAAAAAACCTCACCAAACCTTTTTTCACCCGTTACCTTAAGAAGGTTGAAGCTATTTACCTGAAAATATTTAGTTCAGTAACCAATATTTCTAGTTACACTTATTGATATGAGTGCCCATAATTGATACAAACAAAATTTGTGCTGTGAATCTGTAAAAATATAGATAATATTTATATTTTTCAGGTAGTTTTATCTGCTTTCAATAATTATGTCTAACTTTCTAATCATTGTTAGGGATCAGGGTGAGGTTTGGGCTCACTTAAGATAGTGTTTAAGCAGGACAGAACTACACCGTCATTACCACACTAGGGACCAGGAGACAGGATCTCTTCAACTCCAGGTTTGTCTTGATGGGGCCTGGGGTGGCTGGGGTCTGGGGCCCGGGCCTGTGGCCTGTGGCGTGCAGCTGAGCAAGGTCTGGGAAATCGGCCCTAGCAGGGCTCCTCTGAGGCTGTCCTGAGCTGAGCGGAGTCTGATGGTGCGCCCTGCGGTCCCCGCAGGTGCCAAGCACAATGAGCGACATCCAGCCCTCGCTGTTCCCCTGCGACACGCCGAGCGCAGCCCCGGCGGCGCACTGCCACCCAGACATCTCCTTCAGCAGCCAGCCGCAGAGCGCGCCACTGCTCATCGTGGACAAGGGCCCCGTGGAGCTACCAGAGGAGTTCGTGGTCCAGGTTCCCAAGGAGCCCAGAACCCAGCCCAAGGTGCGGCCAGTGGTGGGGAGAGAGGGCTGGGGGTGGCTGGGCAGGGGTTCCTGGGAAGCTTGGCCCCAGGCAGTGCCCCTAATGTGTCTTTTCATGTATTTGTGGCTAATATGTGCATTTAGTTGTACCCTAGCCCACTGTTTAACAATGCATGCATGTTCTACCTTCTAGCCTTATCATTATTTCAAAATGTTGACCTTCAATTGAATTTGAAATATCTTTCCATTATCACAGGAAATTTAAAATTACTGTCAGTGATAGCTTCCACTTTTGTGGAATTCAAGTGGTTGTAAAATACAAGTTTTAACATTTCTGGTTATCTACTTATTTGAAAAAAAATTCCCATCAGTGGGACCTACCAGAATTGGAGACGATGATGAAAACATCATGGTTAGAAATTGTGTATAAGCAGTTAAAGCATAAAACCTGCTAGAAAAATGACGGTTACAGAAGCTAGCTAATGTTCTTGCGGACGTAGTGGAAGTGCCTTGTTAATAGTGTCTCTGCAGCTGGCCAGGGCAGGGAGTGACATGCAGCCCATGAAACTCCACTGGACAAAGTTACATGTTTGCACACAACCCAATGCTATTTCCCCTCGGCATTTTATATTCTATTTTATCCATGATATTTAGGCAATGTAACTTTTATTTTTCTCATTAAAATCTATACAGTCACTTTCATTTCTTTAATTTACCTCAGGGAATGGGGGGGCAAAAGTAGGTTTACAGTTGTTCATATGGAAAAATATTGCAATAATTAATAAATGATAACACAAGAATAAACTTTGTTTCATGTACCCACAACTGTAAACCAACATTTGCCTTCATATATAATTACATATAATATGGGAGCTATGGAGTCTGTCCAGATGTATCCAGCCATGTAATATGAAAAACAGAGGCATTTATTTAAGAAGATACAAGATACAAGAAATATTATACCTAGGACAATGACACCTTACTAGCCTGCAAAGTGGGTGAGGTCAACTTGGGACCTCACATAGTTCTCCCAGTCACCATCAGCTGCCCAATCATATTTCCTGAATCTCATCAACAGTCTGAAATCTCTTCCCTTTCAAATGTTATTTTAGTTTTGGGAAAGGCCAGAAGTCACAGGGTGCCCAGAAGTCTGGGCTGTAGTGGGGCTGAGTCACCTGGGTGAGTTGATGTTTTGCTAAAAAGCTCTGGGAGATGCGATGCATGAGCAGGTACATTGTCATGATGAAGCTGCCAATCACCAGTGGCCCATAGCTGCAGCCTTCTAAATTACCTGAATAGTTTCCTCAGAGGAATGTTCAAGCATAATGCAGAATTTGATGCAGATTTGTTGCTGTGCTTGCTCAGTCATTTTGAATGCACAGCTACCATCTGATGTACCATCTGATACCATATTATGTCATCTTATACTTAAAATTTTCTTTGTGTTCTATAAAATGAGAAAGCTAGGAAGCATTTGGGCTGTTGAACCATAAATATCAAGTCTTGTCCCAAAACTGAGTCACCTCTCCTATTCCATAATTTCCCAAGATGTTATACAAGAAATACTGGCAAAGGAACATGAAATGCCATGGTAGTAGTTGAGTTTCTAAGCTCCATTGGAGAATTCTCTGATAAAACAAGTTGAAATACTTTGCTTCAGTTCAGAGCCTACTGAAGTTGATGCATCATAAATCCACTTGAGATTTAAGAGACCAGTAAGTTTTAAACCTGACTCTTCAATTACTGCAGCCACATAAAAAGAGTAGCTCTATGGGACATATGGCACTCACTCTGGCTCTGTCCACTCAGTCACATTCATTTGATGGCCTGTTCAGATTAGAATTTTTTCCTTGGTGGTGATGGTTGGTGCAGGGGGCAATGGAGGTGGGTACATACATATCCAGAGAAGTTTGTAGAAATGGCTCCTATGTGTTCTGATAATTCAAGAATATATAATAAGAATTCTTTAAGAATTTCATTGTTTGTTCTTTTCTGCTTTCTGTTTTGTATTACCATGTCAAACCTGAAATTCTCAGAATTGGGTGCAGTTATATTTTTTGCAGAATGTGTTCAAGAATCACAAAGTTTTCATCATGATATTGCCTTTTGACTTATAAGATAATATAAATTAACATTCATTAATTTACTCCAATGCATATTCATCAAAATTTCTAATACTAATGAAGTAGAAAGAAGGAATGAAGTTTAATTTTTGAGTAGATGTTGTAAGTATTTAAATCAGCAACTAACACACACACACACACACACACACACACACACACCCTACCGAATAGCAATTCTGTCTTGTGGAAAAATTAAGAATATTAGCCAATTAGAATACTTTTTCTCTGTAGAACTTTTACTGAATAGTTGGCTGAATTTAACTGTTCCCCAACTTTTACAGCTTAATAAGACTTCTGTGTATTATGCACTTTTGCTTTTGCTATGTATGAGGGAAGTTGCAATATAATAATGGGTTATGAATGATGTTTCTCTATCAGTTTACAAAGGGGAAAATTATATTCTGTTTTGGACATAAATGGAAATGAGGGTCTAAGGCAACCCTCATTTGATCTCATAACTGGACTGGGAGGTAAATGTGATTAAAAGGAACCAGCAGTATTGTGTTAATCTGTTATGATGAGACAATACTTTTTGAAAGTTGCATTTGTGCAAAACTAATTTTATGAGTAAGACAGAGGCAACTGAAGGTTATCTTTGAGTGCTTCATGGAAAAAACAAAGAAGAATAAGCAAATATTATAGGGATATAATCTTTCTTAGTATAGAAGATGGTGCATACAGCTAGAGTGCCTGGTCAGATATTAAAAGTGAAATCGAAATAAGAGATACCACATTATCTTGAGCTGTTCAAATTGAAAAGACATGGGAGAATGCAGACAAGAAAGTGTCAGTACACTCCATTTTCCTCCTTCCTCTCCTCCATACCTCTCAAAACAAAAACAACAGTCTGTTCTAGAAACAAAATAATTTAAGACACAGAAAACTCAGAAATACATATAAATGATAAAGACTGATATAGATAAATCTGACCGAAAAATACAATTGATTACTAGTAATTTAAAAGATGTTAACTTCTGTTTGTTCTATAGAGAGCCAAGCAAGCAAGGAAGAAATCCCACAAAAACGGCCATAACAACATAGCATAACACAAACCTTTATATTGGTTTGAAATTACACTCTGCCCATTTTCCCTTTATTTTCATTTGACCCCAGTTAGTAATAGTAGTTCTTGAGAGTTAATGAGTATTTGGATTCATAGGAATTAGGGCTTCATAGCAGAGCAGCAAAACATGAAGAATGGAAAAAAAAAACCTTTGTTCTCAGAAGACATGTTTCTCCTGAGCATATTAAAGCAGAAGGAAGTCTGAGGGCAGATTGCCCAGTTAATGACTAGATATCAAGACTTACTTGAAGCTAAAAGAATGTTAATGTGTTTTTTATCAGCACTTTCCTTGCTTTAATTGTGATTTTCATGCAGATGCATAAAAAGTTCATTGAGATGTTCTACAAATAACCCTCCTGCCAGGCACACAGAGAGAGTACAGGGTTCCTACAAAGTGTTCTCTCAGAATACAGCTAAAGCATTCCAGTCTTGACAAGTCATAAACTCTACCTCTTGCAAGAGCCAAAATGCTTTTCCAAGGGGCTTTTGTATTCTGTCAGTCCTTTGGAGAATCAATATTTTTCCCATTTACCCCAATTTCTGGGTTCTTAAGATTATAGATGGCAATGCTTTTATGATAATTATAAGCAAGGGAGAAACTCCATTTGATTTTTTTAGTACTTTACACAAAAGCCAGCTGTCGAATTATTAAATAGTAGAGGTTCCTTCATTTAGTTTTGTTCTCATTTATCATTTTTTAACAACATTGGATGGAGTGCAGATGCATGTTGGGTAGTGCACAAAGTGCCAGGAAGACAAAGATGGAGAATTCACAAACTTTTGATTTCTCAGCGAGTATGGGGAGACAATAAGACTATACTATGTGGCAAATTCTTGCCAAGGGATATGTCTCCCTTGTATTGAAAGAGGCAAGAGCCATGTTTGTAAATGGTAGTTAACACAGTGTGTGTGTGTGTGTGTGTGTGTGTGTGTTAGGGGAGAGTGCTCAATGTAGGAACTGCGTTGGTAATAATACAGAATTCTCATGGGAATCTAAGGACTCAAGTCCTGGAACTTGGATATCAATAAATAATATCAAGGAATCATTCCCCACCATTCTCCCCAGAAAAAGGCCTAATTCTTCTTTGGTTCTTTAACTTTCCATCAGGTTCTTTGTTCATTAGCATTGTCTGTCACCCCAAATGTACAACCCTCCTCTTGGTACTGACCACCAATTGACACTTTCTTCTTGCCTTTAGTTTACATTTCCAATAAAGGGAATTTAATCCCCATTAGGTTAGGTCAGTATCCCTGATCTTACTCTTAATGTCACTGTCCATTTCATGACCTACATCCACACAGAAGCAATTGTGTAGCGAAGAAGCAATACCAGTAATACCTATTTCAGAAGCTGAGTATAAAATACTGTGGAGGGAATATCTACCCAGTTCTGGAGGGTCAGAGAAAGTACTACTGAACGTAAAGTGTTATCTAAACTGTGACTGACGAGCAAATAGTACTCAGCCAAGTACAGAGGTAGAAGAAAGATACTATTATAGAGGAAACAATACCACAAATGCCTAGTTCACTATTTGGAGTATAGAAGTCCAAAGGATGACATCTAGACATTAGTACAGAATGATCTTGAGAAGTAATCAAAGGTCTGATCAGCATGGTATTATATAACATTATGAGGAGTTTGGAGTTTTTCTGGTGGTAACAAGGGAATAATTAAGTTATTCTTAGAAGAATAAGCAAAGAATGATCTCCTGCCTAGATATGAAGAATGAGCTAGAGGTTTCAAGACTGAAGATGGAGAGGTTATTCTGTTGACCTAGATAAAAAATAATGGTGGTCCTGCCTTCAGGAGTGAATGACATTACTGATAATGAGGAC